TCCCTTCTCCTCCATTCTCCTCTCGGGATCTTGGGCACGCATACACATGCGCCCAGCATGAGTTTAAGCCACCAGATCCGGGACTCAAACCACGGTCAACTACATGGGAGTCCAGCGACATAGCCATTATGCTAACTGCTGGTCCCTCCTTTTTTATTTTATTATTTTTTTTAAGAGAGATTTTTGCTATAGGGTGTGTGAGTTCACTGGATAGACAGAGAAAGTGAGAAATCAGCCTCTAGGGGGGATGGTCACACTGCAATCTCTTCTCAAGATCTTGGGAACGCACGCACATGTGCCTGGCATGTTTTAAGCAACTAGGCCCAGGAGTCAAACCACCATAGTCGACTACATGGAAGTCTAGACAGAGAAAGTGAGAAATCAGCCTCTAGGGGGGATGGTCACACTGCAATCTCTTCTCAAGATCTTGGGAACGCACGCACATGTGCCTGGCATGTTTTAAGCAACTAGGCCCAGGAGTCAAACCACCATAGTCGACTACATGGAAGTCCCATGATGTAACCATTATGCCATCTGCTGGCCCCCCCTTTTTAAATTGAGTCTATTCTCTTAACCACTGTACTTTGTTGCCTCTGCAAAGAGGTGCCACTTCCACTGGGAGCAGGAGCTGCCAGTTACCATGCTCATGTTCCTGGAAAGAGTTTTTGGAATTGGGTATATGCACTCACCAGAGAGACAGAGAAAGAAGAGACAAAGAAAGAGACAGAAAGTGAGAAATCACCCCCCACCGGGTGGCCATGCTGCAATCCCTTCTCCATTCTTCTGGATGGCCAGGCTGCAACCCCTTCTCCATTCTCCTCTTGGGATTTTTGGGCACACATGCACACATACCCAGCGTGAGCTTCAAGTCACCATCAGGGACTTGAACCATGGTCCACCAGGTGGGAGCCCAGCACCTTAACACTACACCACCTGCTGGCCTCAACATGTCCTGGTTCTACCTGCTTGCCTTTCCTCTCACTTGTAGCTCCCAGTTCCTTCACTCCGGCCTTGGCTTTGGGATTTCAGGTTCTGAGACAGGGCTAGGGGACCGGCATCACAGTCCCGTGCTTAAGAGCACAGGCTGTAGGATGCGACTGTCAGGCTTCTAACTTGAGCGAGTCACTTAACCACTGGGGGCCTCGTTCCTTTACCTGTAAAGTGGGGATGGAAATCCATGTGTGTGACTATTCTGAGGACTAAATAAGATAACTTATGTAGAGTTCTTAATATAATCAAGGTGTAATGGAAAGGGTTCTTTAAAAATTAGGTACTGTGGCGACCAGCAGTTGGCATAATGGTTATGTCACTGGACTCCCATGTAGTTGACCATGGTTCGAGTCCCTGACCCGGTGGCTTAAAACTCACGCCGGGTGCGTGTGCGTGCGTGCCCAAGATCCCAAGAGGAGAAGGGATTGTGGTGTGGCCACCCCCCGGGGGGGGATTTCTCGCTTTCTATCTCTTTGTCTCTGTCTTTCTGGCAAGTGCACGTGCCCTATAGCAAAAACCTCTCAAAAAAAAAAAAAAATTAAGTACTGTGGGGCCAGCAGGTGGCTTGGTAGTTGAGATGCTGGACTCCCACATGACTGACCATGGTTCAAGTCCTGGACCTGGCGGCTTGTTTTCTCACTCTCCTTCTCTGTGTGTTTCTTGCTGGTCAAATTGAAATAATAATAATAATAATACATAAATAAAATTAAATATATATATTTTAAATTAGCTATTATTGTCCCAGCCAGTGGCAGGATGGCTAGGCTGCTAGGCTGAGTGAATCTCACTGGCCAACTGGGCAGTTGGAAAACCATGGTGGGTGTGTGTACGTGCAAGGCCAGAAACCCCAATAGGAGACGGAGAAAGGACTGTGGTGTGGCCACACCCCTGGGGGCGGTTTCTCACTTTTCCCTTCTCTATCTTCTACAACCCCACTGCTCCACAGCAGAAGAAGAAGAAAAAGAAAAAAAAAAGGCTATTGTTGTTAATAAGATGTGGACTAAAGATGGTTTGGTGGGGAAAATGATAAAAACAAAAAAGCCCGCAGACTTTCATATAATAGAAATACGGAAAAACAAAAAAGCCCGCAGACTTTCATATAATAGAAATACGACAGCGGCCCAGCAGTGGTAGTGCCACGCTGGCAAGACTGGAGCCATGTGGAGGGTTAGGTTTGGTTCCGTTCAGCCTGTCTGTACTGGGTCCACATATGCCTGTAATCCTGGCTGGCTGGGAAGGGTTGGGGTGGGGTTGTGGATCGTAGTGTGAGATTCTGAGTGTACCTGTCTTTCTTTCTCATGAAATCAAGAAATAAGTAAAAACTTAAAAAGAAAGAAGATGGAGCCCCTCAGTCAGGATGGGCTTCTTGCTTAGACTAAGGACTTCTACCACCAGAGCCCTGCCACTCAGTGGTGGGGAAGGTCCCAATCTGTAGCAGGCTGGGAGGCGGGGACACAGGAGGGTGAGGCTGCCAGCACGGGTTAGAAGTTCAGAGAGAACCTCTTATTGATCATCTAGCAGGCAGGGTGCCAGGCCTTTTACCTGTGCTATCTCGTCTGATCCCCGCGATGAACTCTGTAAGGAGGTGTTAGCAACCACACAGACGAAAACGGAGGTTCGGAAAGTTTAACTCGTCAAGGTCATACAGCTGAAGAATGGTAGAGCTAGGATTTGAACTCAGGTCTCTAACTCCGCTCCATTGGAGGAAGCTCATATCACATTCAAAAGAGCGGCCAGTGACCTACCACCTGCCTCTTGCTACATCACCACACACATACCCACCGCCCACCGGCCAGCTGTGCTGGTGAGCCCACAGCAGGCCCCGGTATGTGCCTCCCGGGGCATGCCAGGACCTGGACCCTGTGGTGCCCTGGAGGACAAGCCCAAGGGGAGTGGGAGTGTCTGCCAGCACGCCCCCATCTGAAACCTGGCAGACGCTCCCACTCCTCACCTGTGCCCGGAAGGCGGGACTGGGAGTCAGACACAGACTCAGGTCCCGTGCGGGCTCCCAGAGAGAGGCGACAGCAGGAGTGGGTGGGGAAGCCCCAGCCTCCCGGGACAGCGAGCACTCGGGCTTGCCCTGGCTGGCCAGACCTCTGCCCAGGGGACCCAGGCAGGTGGCAGCACAGAGCCCCAAGGGCAGCCCGGCCCTCTGACCTCTCCTCCCACTTCCCAAGCGTCCTTCCCTTCTCTAGGGGAGAAGGCGCCAAGCTTTGGGACTGCCTGCCCTGAGCGGTCAAGAAAGCAAGAGGGACCAAGCGCGCCCCCAGCCCCGGCAGGGCCCTCGCCCCACTCTGGTCCGGCGTCTGAGTCTTTCCCCCACCGCACCCTCCAGCGCAGGCCCGGGCGGCTCATGAATGAACTGCACTGTGTGGGGCGCGAGCAGAGGACACGCTCCCGGGGCCCGCCGCCTCCCGAGCCCGCCGACCAGTCCCCAGACGGGCCGGGGGCAGCGGCCGGCCTTGCGCCAGCACCCTCGAACCTGCCCCTGACCAAGCCCGCACCCTTGCCCCAGCCGGGCTTCGGGAGTGCTGGACCCCGGGAGCAGGAGAAACGTTAAAGACACCGAGGGCATCGGACTTGGCGACCTCGGAATCCAAAACTCGGGGGCGGGGGCGGCTGGCTCCACCGCGGCGGCGGGCTGGTGGGGCGCAGCTGGAACCTCGGGGCGCCGCGGAGGGGACGCTCACCTGGACCAGGCAGGTGGGAGAAGAGTGACAGTAGGGGCCGCGGGCGGGGGTACCACCCCTCGCCAGAATGACTCCACTCATGCAGCTGCT